TTCAGGCATTGGACGACAGCGCCGTGGGCCGCCTGGAGAGGCTGGTTCCTTCGGTAAATCCTGTGTAGAATCTGCTACTCTGAATCTTATCTTCCTTATTCCTTAGGGGTCGTAGAAGAAGTAGGCTTTTGGGTTTAGGTTTAGGGTCTAGGGTTTCGGTTTAGGGTTTAGGGTTGAGGCTTGAAGAATCACCTATCCTATTTTGGCGTTCCTTGTTATGATTTCAACCCCAGACCCGCAAGTTTGGAACCTTTATAAACCCATTCTATCTACGGAGCCTCAAAAACAACAGCTAAACCCTAAACCCTAAGCTAAGCCCTAAGCCCAAAGGGCCCCAAGGCCCTAAGCAGAAACCCACATCCGAAAGGCTGACGAAAGCCAAATTCGAGGAGATGGACAGGCCTGGGGCTCTGAGCACTGGGCGTTAGGGTTTAGGGTTTAGGGGCCCTGAGCTCCAAGATAATGACTTTGCCCAATCCCCCCCATGATCGTGGAAGACACAGCTATGCTCTGAGTCGCGCAGTTTCGAGCTCGGAGCTCGATTCTTTGTGGTGCCAGGCATGCGGAAAGCCTCCACAGCGTTTTTTTACCGTGACTAGCAATCGCAGGATTCGAAAACACAGATTGTTTGTGGTTAAAATGACAACAGGTTGAATTTGGGAAATTCTCCAAGTGACGGCTGTTGCAGAACTTATACTTCGGAAGTACCGCACTTTGAAGCAGTTGCGGCGTTTGACAAGCACAAATAAAATACAATGTGAGGAACCAGCATCATCTTCCAGAGTTCGAAAGCACAGACGTCGAAAGCACAGAAGTGCTGAGCACTGCCGTATTTTGACGGCATGATGTTTGCAAACTGGGGGCGGGCTTGCCCCACCTGTTAAGCTGCCCATGCTTCCCTCCAAGTCAAGTTGCATCGTGCGAGCATGATCGTTGCAAATGGCAGGCTGCACGTTGCTTGCCCTTTTCAGATGGGGGGGTTGCATGGCAAATGTGTTGGAAGATACACGATGCCCATGTCCTCCTGGGCCCCGTGCTTTGCAGGCTCATGGTGGACATGGCGGTGAAACTTGGCGTCCGCTCTGCCAGCCTTTCCGGCGGTGCTGGTGACACCACTGGCTTCTCCTCTGCCCACGGATCCACCCATCGAGACAACGGGGCGACTTGGCCATATAAGCACTCATTGTCTCACCCTCCCATTAAGGTTCTTCATAGTGTTGGCTGCGGGAAAAAGGCGTAGGCGGCATAGTCATCATTCTATGGGTGCATTGATTGGCATCAGCTACTTAGCTTTGTTCGGGGGTTCGATCACATATCCTTTCAGAACCATAGTTCCGTTCCAGCATCTAAAGTGTGTCTCTGGGGTTCAGGACTTCCTTTTCATTTATGTTGAACCAGCAAGCAGGGGCTGCGCCAACAAACAGTGTTTGTTTGCATGCGTCCGTCCTTTCAACTCTGCTCGTAGATTTCCAAGTATGTCGGACCATGCCTTCGCATGTTGTTTCATGATACACCTCCGAAGACGCTGGAGATGCTGAGGAAGCCAGTCATGCCGAAGCAGGTGCTGCCAAGGAGCGTTTCAGGTCTTTGAGTTGACTCACCGTAATTTGTTTTTGATTGCAGCATTTCAGGGTGCCCAACTTTGGCTGCTAAGTTTTTTGTACCAGTCCAGCACGTCTGCATCCAAAACCTCGTTGGCCTCTGTGCAAGCGAAGCGGGTTTCGCGCGGAAGTTTGTGCTCCTGTATGTTTGGTTGGCCATGGGCATCATTCTGCAACTCAAGCACTAGTCCACTCATCATGTGCTTCGGTTGCCTTCTTAGCAAAAAATCCGAAACTGGATGCTTGCATCTCTTTTGAGTACCAGTTTCGGATTTCCGTCAATGAGTCCAATGACACTGGCAGAAACAAAGGAGCTGCAGGACCTGCCTGCTCACTGTCTCTGGAGACCCGTCCTCCCGGTAGCATTTTCGCTTCGCAGGATGCTGAGGAGGAGTTGCCCCTCGGCCGATGAGTTATTCAGGCCGTCGCTCAGGCTGCGCATGCGAGGCTTGCAGCACAAGTTCACCTGTTTTTCCACAACTGCATGGTGGATGGGCTTCGGTTAACCGGCCCTGAATGACACTGCAGGGAGGTGCACAGGTCTTCCCCGTCTGATCCAAGGAGCGTGACGGAGCTCAACGAAGGAACCCTCAATGAGCTCCCTCAGGACCAAGCGGGAGACCATCCCCCGCACACCTGTTTTTCGGAGGTGCAAGGGCTAGAGATCAACTCTTGGTGAGAAGGTCCAGGAGTTCAGTTTCCCCCCAAGCTCCGCCAGTTGTGTCGTGAGAGTTGGGAGCCCAGGTCTCAAAGTGCTTGCATTCTTCGCCCGTTCCTGCACTCCCCACACATCCCCCCACACACATCCCCACTGTCTTTTTTTCTTTGTCCTGTGAAGACTGGGAGCCTCCCGAAGGATGGCGAGCTGACCGAGGAAGGCGAGCTGTTGAATGAGACTCCTTACAGGATCAAGCAAAGCAATCAGAGCCCTTTCTCAGTGCCCCGGTGTGCGGAAGATGGTGTGCAGAAGTCCGTAGATTCGCTGTAGATGGCTGTAGACTCTTGGGTTCCTAGATGTTTGCCAGGCTTTTGCTTCTGAAGCTTTGGGGTCGGCTGCACATCCTCTTGCAGAGTTTGGCTTGCTGCTACCCCGCAGAACGCCCGCAGCCTTCGAAGAACCGCCGGCCACGGCTACGATCGCGCACTCCCGGGCTTGTGCAAAAGAGCGGTGCGAAACCCGAAGCCGCAGCACGGCACCAACGACTTCAGTGTCTTAGACAAGACTCCAAATGCTGGGCTTGCCGGACGCATAACAAGCGACAGAGAGAGCAGAATGTGAAAGAGCCGTCTCAGGCAGAAGAGCTATACAGGTGGGAAGCAGCTGTGCAATGTGTGTTTGATCGAGGCTTCAGCTGTCCTGTACTGCAGCCGTCAAAGTCTTAGAGTGCGCGCGAACGTGACCAGTGGCACGTTGAAAGTCTCAGAAAAAGCTCGGCAAAGCATGGGCCAAGCCATGCTGGCGATGTCGGAGTTTTTCCCCAGCAAGTCCTCCAATCCTCAGCCCTGCCATCAATCACAAAAGCCGGCGATCCCCTCCAATCCTCGCTCGCTCCCGCAAAGGTGCACGGCTAGGGGCCCATTGGCCATCAGACTCTGAGTTGGGCCGATTCACCGCTCAACGAAGCAGCACAGGCTCCTGAAAGCCCCAAAGTAGTCTGGGAGATTACATCCATGACGCCCACCGTGAGACAAAGTGGCCTGCGCTTGAATTAAATGACTCGTGCGAGTCACCTGCTCCAGATTCTGTGTTGCACTGTACCAGAAAGTGCCAGGAGTTGCCACGGATGCAGCTAGCCAGGCCGATGAGTATGTACCTAAAACTACCAAGACCTGCTTTTTTGTAGGGTCTCCATTAAGTCTATAATTGGGTTTGTATAATAAGGACCTACAAAAAAGTAGGTTATAGTAGTTCAAGGTATTGTTTCGAGGAACACCTGAAACTGGCGGCCTTTCGGGCTGTTTTCTGCACAGCCACCCGAATGAAAACCCCAAAATAACGATTCTGTTGAATCTCCTTATCCTTGTTTTTGTAGTTGTGACTTGCTCAAATTTGGACGGCAACGCAGGGTCTCCCTTCTTGTCGGTAGGTGAGTGCCGGAAGCGGAATCGTTGCTTTTCCAGCAGCGATTTGGAGATGTTTGAAGTTTTGGCGAAGACCGCCATGAGGGACTCGGTCCGCTTTCGCAAATCAGCGCAGTGCTGCTCAGGCAGTGGGAAAAATCGCTGCACCGTTTTTTTTTAAATTGCAGAACTTCTTTTCAGGCCCAGGCCTAGTTTGAAGATGTCACCAACACAGGAGTTGTTGGCAGAACCATCGCTTGAGTCGGCTTGATGCACGACGATGCAAGCACGCATTACCTTCCTCTTCTTGTTTCTAGCATCTTTCTCGTAGTTTTATGATTCTGCTTGCATGTTGGAAGTTACTTGACATCAAACCGAGCTGGATGCGCCAGCCAGCTGGTCTTGAGACTAGACTGGTAGAATATATTTAAAGCCGCTTTCACTGGCGCCTGACTCAAAAGCGTTCGTCTGAATTTGAAACCGCTGTGAAGCGACCTACGCATCGCCACAAAGCCGATTTTCATTTTTAGAGCTCTCGCAGCTCAGCTCTAAAAGCTCACAGGCCAGGCACTGCACGAAGTGCACCGCCTTGGGAGCCGCGCTTCTCCAGTCTCAGAGCGTTGCAGGAGGGAGCTTCTGGGAAGTGAAGCTATGATGTAGTCTTTCCTGCATCTCTCTACAATCCGTGACTGGGGGTTTTGGTGCGAAGTCCCTATGGACCTCAGCAAGATTTACTTGCAGGCCACGGGATTTTAAGGACAACCACGTTTGCAAATGTATAGAGCTCGAAGTCGAAGGACGCTTCAAAACTGTACCGTTGCCCCCCAAAAAAGCCCCCCGAGACCCTCGGCTTTCGAGCGGAAGTCCTCATCCTTCCAGGCCAGCGGATCTGGATGGTCCGTTTCGAAGAGCCTCAGAAAGGCCGAAAATGGGAGCACTTGGACTCATGGATATGGGTAGTTGTCAAAATTATGGTCCCTTTTGGGGTACCTTAAATAACCATATGTATGGCGAACCGGTACGGTAATGATCCGCACTGTCTCGTGCGCTACGCGCAGTCCAAGCCTTTTTCTGGCTCCACTGAGCGCCGCAACTGAACTTGCCTACACTTTTGAGGCTGCACGCTTGTTCTCGGTTGTCTGAAGCTGCTAGCACCAATACAGAATAGTATCAAAACAGTATCAATGCAAGATTCATTAAATACCTTCCGCTGCCATTTCCAGTTCTCTGCCGACCTCAAAGAGGTACGTGGCCTTTGCGGAGGCTGTTCTTCGGAAGCTCTTTGGGGCCACTGGATTTGTGGCGTCCCCGTTGGGACACGTCCACTTGTAAGGCTGTGTAGGATTAAAAACAAATCCGATTCGCTCACCGTTGCAAGCCCCTTTTCCCGATTGTCCTGGTCTTGCTGGCTCTCTGCTGTGCCCGTCGCCATGGAAGAAGCTAGCAAGCTGCTGTCCACGATCGAGCCTCGGCTTCGCAGCAGGTTGGCATGACTAGCAGCGGCGAATTGCAAGTGAAGCGTTGCTTGAACATGTATACGTGAGGTGCAGCACATCTATCCGTCGCACAGCATGCCTCAACCGTTTTGACATGAAAGCCAAACGCTCGATGCCTGAAAGGCAAAATTCGCTTCTGCACTTTAAGATCCTTTCGGGGAGAGCTAACAAGCCTCACTTCTCAGGACCTGGATGATTACACCATCAAGGAAGTCCAGAATGGCTGGGAGACGACTGCGACTTTGCAGAACTCGGTGTTGGGAGGAACTCAAGCTGTAAGGGCTTCAGATGATTAGCAACGAACTCCAGTGATAAAAGTGAAGCGAGCCGGGAGCATTGCAGAGCACGGTACCTGACACTCAACGGCGGAACAACGAGCTCTGCATACACTCTAAGCAAGTCTGATCCGGGGCCTCTCTGTAAGATCGCTCGAGAAGAGGCTTTTGTAACTTCTCAGAAGCCCTTTCAGAACATGAAGTTGTGGCAACCTCCATGGTCCCCTCAGGAAAAGCGGCTCGGAGGGCCCAAGATGGCGGGCGAGGAGGCCGCTCTGCACGTCTGTTTCTACATATATACATAGATAAATCCATACATAGAT